GATGGCGGGCAGGCTTCCCAAGGAGCTGGCGGACGACGTGGCCGGGTCGGTGCTGGACTGTTTCAGGTAGGCGCGGGGAGCGCGGGGTTGCGGGCAGGCGTGTTTCTGGGTGAAGGCAGTGGCTCCCCCTGCCCCGTCGCTGAGCTGGTCGTTGGGCTCCCTGCAGCCTTTTCTCCTCCTCCTGAAGTTAGTTTTGGGGACTCCAGTTGTTCTCCTGTGCTGCTTTTATCAGCTTAGACTCCAGTACATTTAAAGCCTTGACGAAGAAGAGGTCAGTTTTGCGCATGTCCACACGTGGAAGAGTGTCCTTTGAGGGAGCCGTTTTCTTTGGACTGGAACCAGGTCCGCCCTTTTCGAGGGAGCTTCTCTGAGCTTGGCCTGTCCCAGGTCTGGGGCTGTCGAGATCTTCGCAGAGGCCCTGGGGGCTGAGGTCTGAATTCTAAACCGCGTTTAAGTTTGTTGGATTTAAATTGAACAGCCACATGTGGTGGCAGTCGTGCTGTGTCTGCTGTGACCTCCCAGGGGACCCTGGGTAGTACCTGCCCCTCCACTCAGATGGTTTGAGGGGCGTTAGCTCAGGATGGCCCCCAGAGATAGTGCCCAGGCCCCTCAGCCCAGGGCTGGGTGGAAGCGGCTGCCAAGGAGGGGAGGAGGCCTGGCCGGGCCCTGGAATCTGCCGTCTGAACCCAGCTCTGGGTGGTGGGAGGGGGTGGTCTCCAGGCAACAGGGTCCCGGGTGTGCTATGGACCCGGCGCTGCCCTGTCTCAGTGGCGGTGCACCACTCTCCTCCCTAGCCTTTCCCACTGGTAACATTTCAGTTACAAAGTCAGGTGGAGGCGATGACCCCTCTGCCCCTCTGCACCCCTGCCCATGCCGTCCCCTCGCAGGTAACCCGGCACCCTTCCCTCGTGTCCTTCCAGGAATGGTGAGTGTGGGGTGGGGGACAGAGGAAAACATCTCCTCCACTCACACTGCCCCACTGTCCTCTTCCAGGGCGTCCTCAGTTGGGTCCCGACCTAGTCTCGGCCTTCCGCTCTCCTGAACCTGCTGTGGTTTCCACTCCTCTGATACCAGGGTTGCCCAGGGCTTGGCTCTGGGGCAGGCACTCACCCTCAGGCAGTGGGTGCAGCACGCGCTGGGGATGGTGGCACGTGGGCGTCCGTGTCCGCGGTGCCGGTTTGGGGGGTTCTGAGTCCCCGCCGATCTGAGAAGCAGGTATTCTCACTCGGTGTAAGGCCAGGGTTGCCCCTTTAAACGAGAGCTTCCCGAGGACTTCAGGGAAGTTTCACTAAGTGCAACATTTTCTTGTGAGGTGACTAGTAGGCGTTATAACTGTTGACTAGAAGTCTGTGTTTCGGACAGTACAGAGAAGTTCTCTACGTGCTGTTTCATTCTAACTTTCTAATCTCGGTTTTACTCTTTTGAGTTGTCGGGGCCTCTGTGGAAAGGCCTCCTCGCCCCTCCCGCTGCTGTGACCTTAACCTAGGTGCGGTCCTGGCACCAGGAGCCCAAGTTTGCTGAGCAGTGTGGTTGCTTAAATGGGCGGGAGTGGCGGTTGCGGGGGCCCTCCTGTGGGGTCGGGGGTCTGACCAGGATGTGGACTTGGAACTGGGGAGCTGAGCGTGGCAGTTCCTGCCGGTTCGGTTGGAGGACTGTCTCCTTAGCCGACTGGCATTTTAAGTGCTCACGGGGGGCTTCATGAGGCTTTCAGCTCAGGGGAGGGCCTTGTGCTCTGGGCATGGGGCGAGGCTGGCACCACGCTGGGGTCTCAGGCTCGCTGTGCTTCAGTTTTCAGGAGACGGACGGGGCCTGGCATGGCGGGTGTCTGGCGCTAGCGGAACTGGGCAGACGAGGCCTGTTGCTCCCTTCCCGGCTCTCGGACGGTGAGTGCAGCTCACACTGCGTGGTCGGGCCTCCCTGCTCTGTGCTCCCAGCCTTCATTCTCCCATGGGCCCATTGACTCCTCCCCTCCCCTTCCCTCCCCTCTACGGTGGGCTCCCCCAGCGCATGCCTGCTGTCCGCCCGGATTTGGAGGGCCGGCTGGGAGCCGCTGCCTTATCCTCTTAACCAGTTTCACCCCGCTGGAGTGGGGGAGATCACCCATTAACGGTGTGTGAGTGGCCACTGTGGTCCCCTGGGCACGAGGCTCATGCTTGCGAAGGATCGGGGAGGGGGCTTGGCAGTGGGCCTGAGCAGGGGCACAGCGGGGTGGGTGTGCCAGCGTGGGGCTGCGGCCACCTGGAGCCCTGTCTGTGGTTGTGGGGACTGTCCCTGGAAGTGGCATCAGTGCCCCTGTGGGTAGAAGGGAGGGACATCCTGAAGGATGGAGAGGACCCCATCCTGGGTGTGTCACTATGGACGCCATGCATCCTGGGGCCACTTCTGTCCGTGCAGAGGGGTGCAGCCCAGTACCTGAGCTCAGGGTGTCACAGGTGCTGGCTAGCACCTGGCATCGTGAGGCATAAGGAGGGCTTCTCGACCCCTGTTTCTGGGGAGTCACTCTGGTCATGTCTGTAGCAGCTTTGTTGAGATATAATTAATGGAGCATTAAGTTCACCCATTTAAAGTGTCCAATTTGGTGACTTACGGCATATTTGCAGAGTGTGCGACCATCTTATGTACCTCATTGTCCCTCAGAGGAAACCCTGCACCAGGGAGAAGTCACCCTGCCTCCCCTCAGCGCCCACCCCAGGCGTCCGCTAGTCTGCTGTTCGTCTGTAAATTTGCTGCTTCTGGACACTTGTAAACGGCGTCTACGGTGGGGGTCTCCGTGTCTGACTTCTCTCCCTTGCTGGGCGTGTGTGACCTTCATCTGTGCTGTGTGGGACAGCGTTTCGTGGGTGGACGCCCACTGCGTGTCTTGCACTACTGGGTGGACGTGGGTCTTCACTCTAGTGATTGTGGATCATGCGCTGTGAACATTTGTGTATGAGTGTGTGTGTGCACATAGGATTTGAGTCCTCTTAGTTGTAGACCTGGGAGTGGAATTGCTGGATCTTATGCTCAATCTGTCTGTAACTTTTTGAGAAACTACAAACTGATTTCCAAAATGGTGGCACCACTGACACCCCTGCGATTCCTGTGAACTGTGTAAAGTGCACAGTTCGGGGCATTCACTCCCTTTACCTCACTGCACAGCCTTTGTCATCACCGTCTGTTTCCAAAACTTGCATTTCCCCAAACAGAAACTGTCCACATTAAACACTCCCTCCCCTGACTGATCTGTCTGCCTCTGTGACCTCTGACCTTGCCTGCTTTGGGGCCTCATGTGAGTGGAACTGTGACGATTTGTCCTTTTGTGTCTGACTGACTTCACTCAGCGTGATGTCTTCGGGGTCAGATCCACGTGGCAGCCTGTGCCAGAAGTGCACCCCTCGTTAGGCCTGAATCACCCTCCGCCAAGCGGCTCTTCCACGGCTTGCTCAGCTCCTCCTCTGTCGGGACACTGGGCTCATCTCCCCCTCCTCACTGTGCTGGGTAACGCTGCTGTAGGCGCTGGTGTGCACGCGTCTGCCTGAGCCCTCGTTCCGTTTCTCTCAGGTGTGTACCTAGGACTGGAATTGCTGGGCTTCATGGTAATTCTGTGTTTAGCTTTTTGAGGGTTCATGCTTTTTGTATGTAAAGGTTAGAAGCTTAGAGTTCTGAAGTCAGGTTCTATGTGAATGCAGAGAGGTACTATGGCTGAAGAATCAGCGAGACTTTTTTTTTGGTTACAAAGGTCTAGAACCCCGTTGTGCTTGTAAAGACAGATACAGACAGCCTGCTGTGCGTGCAGGCCACCTGGGGGGAGTCGCACTAGGGGGTGGTCCCAGAGCTGCTGTGAGCCCCTAGGCGGCCCCAGGACTACTGGCCTGCGGGGCCGCAGGAGGCCTAGCAGTCATCAGCCGCCTCTGGTTCCTCTTGTCACGATAAGTGGTGGCGAATGCTTCTGGGTGAGCTGTAAAAAGCGTTCTTAGAATCTGTCGGCCTTGGAAATGGTCTGTTTCCTTGGGTGTAAAGCATGAGGTAAGAGCTTGTCTGTGCGGCACGAGGCTGTGGGCCCAGAGCTGGAACAGCCCCCGTCACATGGTTCTGCCCCCAGCGGGGTGCGGCCCTGCTGGAGAGCAGGGGCACCCTGATCCTGGCCTTTGTCAGAGTGAATTGGTGTACGAAACCTGAGGGCCGTCGTGCCGGCGATGGCAGCCGTGTGTGCATTGGTTTCTGGGCAAGAGCGCGCCTGGTGGGCTCCTGGCAGGTGGTTGTCTGCAGGTGCACCTCGGGCGGGCTGCAGGGCCCCCCCGCGTCCTGGGTGACTTCGGACTCCTGTTGCCTGAAAAGAGTTGTGACAACGTCTGCGTCCCTTTTGTAAGTTGTAATCAGTGGTTTTTATAAATTTAACCTGTTGCAAAGCAGGCTGTTTGCCATCCTGAATAGTGTTACTTTAAAACAAAGCTATTGCATCACTGTTTCTTTTTCTTTAATTTATTAAAAATTTTTTTTGTTCGGGGGAGGTAATTATTTTTAGAGGAGGTGCTGGGGATTGAACTCAGGACCTTGCACATGCTAAGCACACGCTCTGCCCCTGAGCTCCACCTTCCCCCCACTGTTTAAATACACCCAGTGGATCAGCCATTGTGGTACGCTGAAACCTACCATCCTCCGTCCACATGCGGGGACTTACCCATGTCTCCTTGAGCCCATATTTCCGGTTACTTTTCCCAGAGAATTTTCCCTGATGTCACATATCCCTGCACTTAGTAAAGGTCTCTTACAGGTCTCCCCGTCCAGGGCCTTCAGTGAGGGGACGTCTGTGAATGCAAAGTCTGTTACGTTCTGTTCTGCCAAAAGGTACTAAGTATTTAAGAACTTTTCTAGATTGAGTTTTTACAGAATTAGTTATTAGTAGAAACTTGATCAAGACAACTGAAAATAAAATTTCACTGGAACGCAGCTGTTCAGGTGAGTGTCTAGTTCAGCTGTGTGGTGTGTGGTGTGTGGTGCTTATACTGAGAGTGAGCTGAATTTCTGCCTCAGCTTTTTACTGAACGTTTTAAATTTTCAGCTCTCAGTGCTGAGGCCTGTCCCACACATGTCACCGGGAATGACGTTGGCTTTAATGGTGCCTGTTGTTTGAACTCTCCTCGGTCGGCTCTGTTGGGACCGCCTCTGTTTTGGCCAAAGTGTGAGTGAAAACCAGCTGCCTTGTGGAGAGAGGGCTTTCTCAGCCCCAGCCACTGTTTCTGGGCCCTTTGTCGGCCCTGCAGGTGGTGTATTGGCTGAGATGCCCTTGGACAGTGGGGAGGGGCCCTCATGAGGCTGCAGGGCCGGTGGCTCTTGCAGGCAACAGCTTAGGAGGCTGTGGCCACGGGTGTCTGCACACGCTGGGCTCGAGCACTGGTGGATGGTGGACACGCTCATGCTCACGCGCTCTCACACAGCCGCTCACACAGATGCACCCTTGTTCTCAGTTTGTTCTAATTGGTGCTTCAGCTCTTTTCTCCTTTTCACTGAATTATTTATTGAGGCAAATACTCCGAAGTATAACCCAGAGTTTATGTTGGTCATCTTCTTACATATCCTTATGGTTCACCTATGAGTTTATTGGAAAATTAGCAACATACACATCATTTTAGGAAGTGGAAAATGAGGCTGCATGAGTGAGAGAATTCACTGTAACGTGGTGAAGAAACAGCGCACGTGCCAAGTAGCTTCGCCAGCAACGCATTCTGCCCAGTGGAAATAAATTACTTGTATAAATAGCGTCTGCTGTCGGCGTGTTGTTCAGTCATGACGAATCACAGCGTCTTCACACATGGCATTTTGATGCTAGGACTGGAAATGTCTTGTCTTGGCTTTTTTTTTTTTTTAGGAATTGTGTACCTCAGAACACACAGATTTAATAGAAAAACAGTTGAACAGTTTGTTCTATTGCTATTTATAAGTGTTTTAAAGAGATTTTCTCTAAGATGCTAACACCCAAAAGTTACTTTTCAGTCCCACGCATTTCATTTGATCTTTTACAGAACGTTGAACTCATTAAGTCTTAAGTGTGAGTCATTCAAATATTTTACACCCCAAAGTGGAAGCAGCTTTTAACATTCATGCTTAGCATTTACAGAACTGAATTGAATGCAGCTTCATTGCAGTTCTTTTTTGAGAAGAAGACCGTATTGTAAAAGCTGACTGGTGGAAAAGCGTTGGGAGCCAGGGTTGTGTGTGCTGTGCCTCAGCTGGGGCCGTGGCTCTAGGACACTCGAGTTCTCTTCCGCAGCGTGAACACCCTGGTGGTGTCACTGGGCTTGGCCCTCTTGGCTCCCTGCTGGGACTTCCCTGCATCCCTTGGACTTGTCCTCTTTTGCCCTTTGGGTCTGAGGTCACACGGAGCCTCCTGGCTTTCTGGGGTGTGGTGGGAAAGTTCCTGGGCCGTGGGCTCCCCCTCGCCTGGCCGGCTGGTCCCTGCGCTGTAGGCCGCCAGCTGGCAGAGGGCCACGGCCGCCGTCTGCTTCTGCTCCTCGCTGTCCACCGCCTGTGTGTCCGGGGCCTCCCCGGGGCTCGCATCCCCAGAACTTGCCGGCTCCGTCCGCATGGTGGGGGCCGTGGTGGGCTCGGGCCCACGTGAGGGGCTGTGGAAGGATGGCCTTGGGGTCAGGGCGTTGCAGGGGTCCTTCACCGAGAGGTTGAGGGGCACATCCTGCGGCTCCGTGAAGTCTCCGTAGGCAGGGGTGTGGGTGGCCGTCAGCTCAACCTCTGGCTTCTTGGAGAGGTTCAGCGGGGCCGTCCTGGAGCTGTCCTCCGGGCTGCAGGGCGTGGGGTCTGGGCCAGGAGAGGTGTGTCCGGTCTGAGCCGGGGCCTCTGCACTGCCGGCCTCGAGGCTGGAAGAGACAAGAGGAATCATCATAGGACCTTGCTTATGAGCGCTGGTGGGGCGGCTAGCGCAGCCAGCAGGACACCGGAGGGTTTGAAAATGGAGGCGCTTACCTTTCTGGGGACTTGTCTCTGCTCTCTGGAGGCTGGGGGTGTGGGCACTCTGGTGGGAAGGCCACGGGGCTCTGTTGTGGTGCTTGCAGCCTGCCCGGCCCGCTGGAGGCGGGCTGGTCTGGGAGCCCGCACAGCCCGGAGCACGGCTGGCGGGTCTGCGTGAAGTTGGTGGGGCTCGGCCTTCCCGGAGAGCCTGTGGCCGCACTGCCTGCACGCGGGCTCATCTTGGTGCCTTCTGGGTCCCTCTGCCCGTCTCTGGAAGGGTCCTTAGCCTCGCGAGTCGGACCCTCTTTCTCAAACTCTGTGTGTTTTCTGTGGGAGCTGGAAGAGTGTATCTTGGATGGACTCGAGGTTGGGTAGACCAGAGTGGCTTCTTCCAGTAGGTGAGGGCTCTGATCCCGCGAAATGCCAGCGATGGGTGGAAGTCTGAGACCGTAGGAGGAGAAGGCAGACTCTGGTCTGTAAAATCCATAAGGAATTGGCAGATTGGAGTGGAACTGCTGGAAAACTCTGTAGTGGTCGTACGTGGACGGAGCTGGGTTCAGGTGCTTAGGGAGCGGCCCTGGGTGAGGCAGGAAGTGTCTCTGGTCTTGGGCTCCATAGACAGACAGCAGGGGGCTGTCACACTCGGCCGGGTTCCCGGCTAGAAGGTAGGGCGAGTAGATGGTGGCCAGTCCGTGCTCGGTGTAGAAGTGTGGTGGGTACTCTGGGACTGCAGGGTGCATGTACGGGGCAGTGGCTCCAAACCCCTTGGTGGAGGGGATTTTATGGGGGAACTCGGGCGGGAGGAAGGGGGAGCCCGCTTTCCACGGGTAGCCAGGGGCGTGGAAGGCGGACTTGGCGTGGAAGGAGGCAGCTTTGGCGGCAGGGTGGGGTGGGGCCAGCGCTTCAGGAGCCTCGGTGAGCTCCTGCCCTTTGAGCCTGTGCTCCCCAATGGGGACGAAGGCTGAGGGCCGCGTGGCGCCTTCCGTGGCAGGAGGGGTGCGCGTGGTGGCTTCCGCAGCGGGGCTTGGGGGCGCCTCTTCCTTGTGCAGAGCAGGCCGCTGCCCGGCACCCCTGTGGGGCCCACGTGCCTGCAGGTCTGGGTTCTCCTTGGCATCGTCCGTGGGCGGGCCGTGTTGGGGCTTGGTGTCCAGGTGCGCGAGAGCCCCCAGGCCAGGCTTGGATGAGGCGGGCGTGGCCGTGGGGCCGGGCTGCCCAGCTGGCCCGGGGTCTGAGGAGCGCGGCTTGGGGCACCGGGGGGCACGGTCCTGCTCGGACACGAGCGTGATGGAGTTCTTGCAGAGCCCGTACTTCATGTGGTTGAAGAGGTGGGACTTCTCGTTGCATGTGAAGGGGCACTGGAAGCACTTGTACCTGAAGGGCTTCCCCGGGGGCCGGGGGATGTAGTGTGGCTTCTTTGGCTTCCGCTCCTTGAGGAGGCTCATCTTCCCCGTGCGGCCTCGCCGGCACGGTTCACGCTGGGCTGTAAGGAGGCACGTCTGCTCCTGCTCTGCTCTCTCTCCGAGCTCTTACTTGAAGCCGGCTCCACGGGCTGCGGGTCCGATGAGGGATGTCTCACTCATTTGGGTTCCAGGAGCTGCAACGGGGAAGCAGAGCTTAGTGTCAGGACGCGGGTGGGCGGGCTGACCGAGACCAGCCTGTGTCCCCCGGAGCCACTGAGGACTGGGAGCAGAGGCCCCTGCAGCACAGAGGCTGCCCCACTCCTGGGGCAGGTTTGAGACGAGCCTCATCGGAGCCCCAGCTGCTGCGCCAACGGCTTCTGTTCCCTCAAGTCTGGCCGAGGGCGTGTGTTCAGTGGAGGGTCTAGTGTCAGTTCTGAGCATACCTGTAATCCTCTTTTCGGGAACCTTTAGCCCGTGATCTGAGGCCTCAGATGCCAGGAGGCTGTGGATCGAGCAGGCTGGGTGGCTGTCGGGGTCCTGCCCCATCCGTGTGCCTATCGCCCTGCTGGCCTGACGGCTCTACCATGACCTGTGCGGCCAGGCTCGTGCGTGTGTGACACTCACATTCAGTGCAAGAGAAGTGTGACTGTAACATTCCGCACATCTGCCCTATTCAGTCACAGTGCTCGGTTCTACCAGGGAGTATTCAAAAACGTGGTTCCACCTTCCTGCTTCTAAGTTCACATGTGGAAAGTCCGCTTTCTTGGTCTGTGGCATGTGTGTTGTCCAGACACAGATGTGGTGCTATTTGGGTGACTGTGCGCCTGCGAGTGCCCCGAGTTCTTACTCACTGCCACGTTTCTGCGGCTCACCTCGTGAATGGCGTGGTTGGTCCCCGCTTGGCCAGGAGGCCTGGATGTGTGTGGACTGCTGAGAGCACTGTGGGCCCGGGAGCCTGCCTGCCGTTCTTGGCCACACCTGCAATGGCAAAACCACATCTCTGCAGCCCTCGTGGTCAGGGTGAAGCTGCGGTGAGTGGTGCCAGGCCTGCTGGATCCTGAGGCCTTCCCCCTGCAGTAGGGGCTGCGGAGTTGCCTCCCCCTGGGGCTTCCTGTCCCTGCCCACCCGCCAGGCTTAACAGGGGTTCTCAGCCTGGGTTCCCTTCAGAGGTGGCCCTGCACACCCCACGGCTTGCCCTCTGCCGCACACCCTGAAGCTGAGAACAAAGACGTGAGGTCTGGGAGGATCTCCGCAGCCGGGTGCGGCTGCATGTCCTGGACCAGCCCATGGGGTGACTGCGTCTTAGAGAAAGCCTGTGGGTGGGGAGGGCTGGGGGCGGGCCAGGAATCAAGGCTGGCACTTTAATTTGCATTAAAAATGTAGAAAGGATCTGGCTTCTAAATATTTTCAAACAGCTTAAAAATAAAGTTAAAAGGAAATAGTTTAAGAACTTCTCAGCGGTGGTTGTGCTGTAAGGAATGAGCAGATACGGTCAGTCCTGAGTCTTGTGAAATTGTGTGTGCAAAGCGTCACCTTCTAGACATTGGGTTGGTTAAAACATTCGGCTGGAAAGCAGCCTTTTAAAAATAGATAAATATGCACTGGAAATCTAAGAGACTCATTTCACAAAATGAAACAGTTACCTTTAACTGCGTCTCTCCCGCGTCCCACACATGGAGATGAGGTCATGGGTAGTTTGCGGGAGGGTGAGAACGCTGCGGAGTGGGGTTTTAATTTCACTGGGGTATCTTAAATTCTGAGAAAGCCATCCGATTTTCTTCTCAGCAAACTGGTTTCTCTACTCAACTATACATATTTCTTAAAAACACAAAAACCTCTCTCCCCCAACAGACTGCTCTGTTTTATCACCAGCTTGCTCAAAGATGTGTTTCTTTCCTCGGAGGTGGCCGGGGGGGTCCTGCAGCCTCTGCTGTGCGGGAGTTTCTGCAGAGCAGGGTGCTCAGGCACGTATTTTGGAAGAGAAATGAGATTGTTGGCTGCCCCCCGGCCTCCTTGCAGGTGTTTGTTGGCAGGGTGTGGGGTGGACAGAGGCCTGGCTGGGGCACCTGGTGCCTGGCTGTGCACCCCGCCCCCCAAGCCCCACACAGACAGTTAAACCTGTGCTCATGGCTCTGCGTCTTACTAACTTCCCTACTTGTAAAGGGAGAACGTGAAATCATGCTCTATGAGTTCATTCCTTGCCTTGAGGGGCAGGTATGCCCTGGGCTATAAAAGCACCATCTCCTTGCCTCCCTTCAGGAAGCGACTTCAGCCAGCGCGGGGCCAGCCCGGTACGTCAGGGCGGCCTGTGCTGGCACGTCTCCTCATGCTCCCTGGTTCTGAAGGCGTGAGAACCTCTGCAAGTCAGGTTCCCATGATTGCACAGGATGTGTTACGGCGGAGATCTGAATGCGGGTGATTTCATCACTAGCTGGGAGCACCAGGATCAAAATGATGACAGCTGCGAAACGTTTATCAAGTGTGAGCCCGCGTCTGGTGATACCGGGAGAGGACGCAGACACACCCCTCCAGCGCCCAGACCGCGTGAGCGCTGAATGAACCAGAAATCCCCTCGGGATTTAAGCCAGCAGTGCCGCCAGCTCTCGGAGCTGGTACTTCCAGGCAGAAATTTAAGTCAACCCACTTTGATTCCATTTTCTCGGTGGTTTATAGGAGGCAAATAATACCTGAGTTACCACAGCATTACCCAAAAGAGTTGTTTGGGAAATTATTGCTTTTATGTTAATATGTACTTTTTTCAGTCCAGTGGTGCCCACAGTTTTGGACTGAACTTTCTGTTCCTTGGTCAGTTAGGTTGCAGGCACAGCAAACAGGTTTTCAGGGGATGGTTTCCTTGTGCCCGTGTTCTGGGAGGTGAGTGTTCTGGGGTGTGATTGATGGAGTCTCAGGAGCGGTAGTTTCAGTAGCTTTGAGTAAACTGACCTCAGGGTTGCAGTTTGCTAATTGAAACAAGGGAGCACAGCTGCTTCAGGTGCTGGTGGAGGCGTCGGGTTCACTTGGTCATAAGAAGGCAACAGTGTTGGAGAGGGAGGTGGGGTAAGCTTCCAGGGGGACGCCTTCTAGGTGAGGTCTGCAAGGGTGAGGGAGCCTCCCCACCTACAGGGACAGGGTTTGCGACCTGGTCAGTTTACATCTGCCAGGCTGGCTGCTTGCTGGCAGCGGAAAAAGGGTGTCATTGCCAAAACAATAAATCCGGAACTTTAACTGTTTGTAGTTAAGTGTGGATTAGCAATAGACATGAGGTTTTCCTGAAGGTGGTAAGAGGTGCTTCACTGTCCTCGCCCTGGGTGGTACATGTCTGGAGGGGTGCCTCCACGTTCACACAGTGGCCCTGGGTTTGTCTTTCCTTGGAGAACTGCGGTGTTAGCATGTTTTAAAATTCAGGTGTTGGGGAGGGTACAGCTCAGTGGTGGAGCGTGTGCCTAGCATGCACGAGGTCCTAGGTTCAGTCCTCAGTACCTCCATTAAAAACAAGTAAATAAAATAAAGCTAATTGCCTCCCCCCAAAAAGATTAATTAAAAAAAAATTCAGATGTTAGCCTAACCCTAAAGGGATGTTTACGTGGCAGTATTTTTCACCCTTGTGCGTCCCGCTGGGTCGGAGCCCTGCTTGTCGCACGCCTTCCCACAGCTCGGGCAGGGGTGCTGGCCTGGAACACGGGAGTGGGTCTCTGCCGGGCTCAAGGGTGGCAGGCGGGCCCTGGGAGCCGCGTCAGGCCCAGCAGCAGGTGTGGCGTCCACGCTGCAGGGGAGGGTGTGGGGAGCCTGAGCTGCCTTCGTTTCGGACACCCCCTTTGAGCTCTGCCAGCCTCTGCCTTGCTCAGCCCTTGGGGCCGGGAGTCGGGGCGCCAGGCCCGCACAGCACTCCAAGCGGCCTGCAGTTTCGGGGTCCACAAAGCACCAACTGGCAGTGACTGAATGGCTTCCTAAGTGTGGACAGTTCACGGGGTTGCCAGCTGTTCAGGCAGCCGTGAGTGGCTGGCACGGCTAACAGGGCTCTGAGGAGCCTGAGCTCTGGGAACTGGGCGGGAGAGAGGCTTCTTCCTAGCTTCGATGGGACACAGTGGAGGTAATTGCAGCTTAACTTTACAGGGCACTGCTGTGACGTGCCGGGGAGCTATGCTTGTCATGCGTGCTGACCTCTGGGCTGAAGTTGTGCTGCAATATTCCTCTCGGGGGTGTCCAGCTGCCTGGCAGGCCGCCTCACAGGTGGAGCGTTTTGAAGGGCACACTATAATTACAATATTGTGATGTGGCGTTATTGCGTAACTCAAGGACACGCCATTGTCGCCTACCCACTGGGGTGTCGCAAGAACGAGATTTGTGAGTTTTACTCCAGTTGCGCTTTTCCAGTGATTAACCACCCCTCCCTCCCAGACTTTCGGTTCTTTGAATTTAAGGGTAAACTGAAAGACAGCCGTAACCTAGGGAAAGACAGTGTTCTGGGGCACCGTTTGGAAGACTGACTCCAGGAAGCAGCCAGGGGCTAGCTCTGGCTCCGGCCAAGATCCAGACTTTAGACACAAGCGCCCAGCAGTCAACGCACACGGCGGTAACATTCGAATGGTGGTCAGTCCCCAGAGCCAGAGCCAGAGCTCAAAGCTCACCCCGCCTCCTGCTCTTTATCCTCACGAATTAATGCTTAGAAGCAAGCGCTGGAAGGACTTTGTGAACACAAAGTAAAAATCAGGGTAACAGACGCAGACAGATGTCCATGAAATGAAGTCTGACGCCAGTCAAATCTGACCAGTAGTTTGGTCGATAATTATTTTCCTAGAGAAACGTGAACTTTGTAAGGTTAACAAAACCCCTTCTTGTGTATGTAGGGATTCTCTCTAGCCAAGGGTTTTTTGTTGTTGTTGTTAAGCTTATGTCAAAAGAGTACTTATTTTAAACTCAAAAGATTCTAAAATTAAAGATTTATAAGTCAAAATCAGCAACTGTCTTATTGCACATACATCTGATTCCTTTATGGAAATTTATTGTAGTTGACTTTTAAGGTGAGAAACAGACACAGTAACATAAACTTACAGATTTGAGCTTTGGTTTAAATCTTATGAATTCTGTGGTAGAAACGAGGACCGAATACCCAGATAAGCTTGTTTGCGCTCCTAGAGTAAAGGGTAAGGCTTATGAGGAGTTCTGTGACAGAGGCACCTGCTGGGTCCTGAGCAGCCGGGGAGCGAGGAGAGGGCGCTCCCCGCAGGGCGGCTGCCGGGACCCTGCGCGGGAGGAGGCGCCCTGCGGGGC